AAAGACCAGTAACTTGGCAGAAGCTCTGTTAATTCTGCTCTGTAGGCAGGTCAAAAACAATATTTACAGCAGGACCTCTAATAAAGGCAGGCAGCTGTTAAACATGTGGGTATGATGTTGTACTACTCGCTGTTGGAGGGAGTATTGTATTTCCTTGCCATAGCTGATGACCTTCCCTTGCTCTGGTACTCAGCTGTACTTCAGCTGAAGCAAGGCATTTTTGGCTCAAAGGATACCTGGTCTTTCTATGATTACCAGACTTTATTTTAAATTTTAAAATTTATTATAAAAAAAAAAGGCATTCTTGCCTTTCCCTCTGCCTACAAAGCATACCTGTTAAGACTTTTGTTTCTCTGTTGTTCCCCTCTGTTCCTCATGGTTCAGGTTTCTCTTCCCATTACACTGTTGAATTAGTACATTCCTTCTTGGTTGGCTCAAGTTATTTGTCTTCATAATACTTTAATAACCCTTCTACTTCATTTTGCGAAGTGTCATTTGTGCATCACTGGCTGCAGTGATATGATAGTGTTGTTGTTCATAACAAGTTTCTCCTATATATTACCTTGCTAGTTAGCTGTCTTCCTTCTACCATCTGGCTGAGTTGGTGGGGGATGGAGGGTCCACTCTCCTTCACACAGACTACAGTATTTGACAAAAGTACTAGAGCCAGCCATAGAATTAGCTGCATGATGAGGGTTTGGGACCAGATAGAAAATTCCTGGAATGTTTCCCAGATAACTTCATGAAGACACAGGTGAACCATGCACACTATAAGCCATGTTTTTATTTCTGCTTGAGGTTAGCGCGATACATGATGGATTCCACAATTCACCCGTGATGTGGTTCACTTCTCTGCATTCAGATTTACCAGCCAGACCAAGCCTCAATGGGCAGGTAACCAGACCCACCGAACACAAACACCAGGTTTTCAACTTTCCTTTAATGCCAAGACAATAGCCATAGAATAGGAGCACAGTACAGAACAGCAGCAGTTCTGCATACCCAGTACTGTACAAGCATCTGTGCAACTCACTGAAGTTTGTTACAGTCATGTAATCAAAACAGGGGTGGCACTATTTATGCTCTTATGCCAACTCTGATTTTCCAGATGGTTTAAATTATATGGCATCCACAATTGTCTTTCCACAAAGGATTTGTTTTCTTCAGCTTGGTATCTTGTATTTACCACAGCTCTCACACTTCAAGACATGCAAGCATCAGAAAAGCTTCAGCTATCAGAATGGTACAGCTCATTTTCTCGAGGTACAGGTAAGAAATACCATAGTATTACCATAAGTAGTATTACCATACCTTCTCTGGTGTAGTTCAAGATAGCCCTATTCTGGTCCATTGTCATGTACAAAATCTTTCTTTAGGACTCCTATAGTTCCCAGAGCCCCTGCAAGCTTGTGTTACGTAATGGTAAGATACACTGAAGTATCAATACCTTTCAAGTTTCTATCAGCATCCTCACAGGTATTAACTGCAGCAATGCTGACGGCAGTATCAGATCTATAAATCTGCCCAATCTTTTTTTCCACCTTACATTTATTTCTTCCACCTCAGTTCCATCACTCTTTTAAAATCGTTTTTATCATCTTCTGTCTTTTTGCTGAACATTAGAAGTACTCAGTAGTTGTAGCCTTGCCAGGAGAAATAATGTTTTGTTGACAGAAAAGTGTTCTGGAAAGATAGTGAGTTTGTTCATATATTCACCATCTGGTCTTCTGCATTTCTGGAACTGAGTGTAATTATATGCTGAAAAAAGGATCCTTCAAACTGGCTGCTTTAAATAGGTTCACTCTCATTTTCAGATAGCTTTTGTCTTCCTTTTTTCTACTAAGTTCTTCAAAAAGAATTCACCTAATTAAAAGGAAAAAAAGCATCAGAATTATTTGTTGGTATTTCGGTAAAATAAGGCAAAACAAGACACATTCTTATTTAACATGAGTGTTTTGTTCTACAGTAGGAAATACTTTATAGTAATTCCATTCTATGCAACAGCACTTTCAATACATATAGCAGGAATCTAAAAAAAAAACCCCAAACCATAACCCATAACTCTTCCACTCCTGAAATCCTGATTTTCCTCATGTCCAATTTTATGAAATAGCTCTGTTGCTTTGTGCTTTCCAACAGGCATTGAATTGGTTTAATTAAAAATTAACTCTTATTTAATAAAGTATCAGCAAGTTATAGGGAAATCTGCTATAATCTCATTTGAGCTGGCATTAAAACAGACTGAGAAGCACAGTGCCCCAGATAAGTCTTCTCTGCTTTCTCCTTCAGAAAAATCAGGATGCTGTACCTACACAACAGTTCCATTAATATCAGCAGCTACTTAATACCCAGTGCTGTGTCAGAAAAAGCACTACCAAAAGAGTGTCCAGTTATTTCTAAGGCACTGTAGATAAATTCTGCCTAAAGCAACCAAACTGCATCACAAATTACAAAGAGTCCCATTAAACCTGGAAGCATCCAAAAGGCAGAATGTAAAGGAAAACTTGCAAATTGGGTACCCTTTATCCTGCCTCACACATTAAGTATTGTACAAAATATGTTTGGCAAAACATCAGCTTCAGTGGCACAGCAACTGTACAAATATAGAGTGTCCTTGAGCTAAGGTGAGGTTTGTTGCACCCTTCTAATTTTATATAATAAAATGTTATATGCTGAAGAATCTAATGCCTTTCAGTAATTTACCTGCTTTATAGGAGGAACGCACTAAAGGCCCACTAGCAGTGTAATGGAATCCAAGATCATTTCCTACTTTTTCCCAGTACTTAAACTTTTCAGGAGTTATGTATTCTTCAACCTGAGTGAAAAGAATTAATTTTGATCAGGTGTTAATGCAAAGAAAATGGGTATAGCTGGCATGGTGAAATGAGACACAGTTATATCACAAGTTCAACATTTTTGACTCCAAAACTTTTGAGCAGTCAAGTCACCAACTGTATTTTCTCTCTGCTTTCTACCAAAATAAGGCATTTTGTTTGCTTTTCAGATTTAGCTGAAAGTTTAGAACTTTCTTCACTCTGTTTTTGAACGGTACTTTGGAGCAAGCCTTTTCTTTTGTCCAAGTTAGTAAAAAACCACGGTAGTCCTACAGATCTCTTCACTAACACTTATTTTAGTGAAATACAGGAACAGAACAGAGAGAGATGCTCTGGACAGATCACAGAAGCAGAAAATGCTAATTTCCCCAGCTGAAGTGGCACCATTAAGGGAGAGCCTATGAGGCAGTGAAGGGGCACTGGCTTGAGCCATTATGCTTGAGACATACACTGAAGCCCTTGTTCTCCAGAATCATGCCTCAGCTCCAGCTGTCTCCCTGGCTAACAGCAGAAACTAGCACTGAGAAGTCTGCAGAATATAGAAGGAGTTAGATGCCTGAGATAATTTTTAGTGAAGAGTCTGTAAGAGATGAACACTATCAGGCTGAACAAGGAAGGAAATTTTTCCTGACATCTGCAGTTAGGGTAAGGATGACTGTGCAAAGTACAAACTATAATTCTGCCTGTAAATTAAAGGCACTTTTACCTTCAGGTGACGTTTCGTTGGTTGCATGTACTGTCCTAGGGTCAAGCAATCTACATCTGCTTCCCGCAATACTGCAAAAACAACATTGTTAGTGGCAGAAGGATCACAAGGCATTGTCAGCCATTAAAAACACCCTCTTTCCAAGTCTGAACAAGGCTCACCCCCAGCACCCTGTGGGGGCCACATTCTGCTCAGAGCAAAGGGAACTTGCAGCCTCCATGCGCAGTAGCCACACAGCTCCCTGAGTTCTCTCTGCTGCAGGCCCTGACCTAGAGAGAAGACCCTGGTGCTGCACTCGCTGCAGTCGGGTCTCACTGCAGAGGTGACATGCTCGTCTTTATCTCGCTGCTTTTCACTGTGTCTTTATGTTAGAGCCTTCATTTGACAAAAGACGGATGGGTGCACATGCACTTGGCACTTCACTGTTTCAAGAGACTAGATGCTGAAAAGATGTGGAGAGTTCTGAAGTGCCATAAATCAGGGGAAATGGCCAGTTTTACACACTTAGGGTGTATTTTTTGATGCCTGCAGAATCTCATAAACTTTGTCTTTACAATTGTAGGATATACCAGAATCAATAAACAGTCTATTTACAGGGGGAAAACCTGGACACTTGATAGTCAGCTGGCCTGAAGAACTGTTTACTGCAGCTAGAGGGGTGTTCTGAACAAAGGGACGGACGGCTGAGGAATCAGAGTTTGCATGAACATCCCCATATATTTTTTGGCTATGTGGGCTGGTTGCCCCACGTTGAATAGGAAGACTTTTGACTACAGCACTGTACTCACTGTTAACCTGGAATCTGTTTAGTGCATTGCTTTCACTTACCACCATGAACGGTTTTTTGTCCTCTTAGAAATACATTTACATGAAACATAAGAACATGCTACAGCTCCAAGGATAGTAACATTTTTGCATCTAAGTAAACTGAAATAATTTAAACAATCAGGTCTGCTGCTTCTAAAAAGCAAAGCACAATAAGGCAACCATGTTGCAAGCTCATTATTTAAGTATTGCAAGATAAGAATGTTAATACAATTACACAAAAATAGCTCTAATTTCCACTGAAATCAACATGAGTTGGATTTACCTGTCCAATTGACTCTGGAAGCCAATATGAAAGAAAAATATTTCAGAAATTCAGTCTTTTTTAACCAAACTTTTCTTTTTCAATGGAACTTAGAAAACATTTCCTGCACCAGGCAAACTGATTTGCATGTAGAGGCAAACACACGTACAACTGTCTTCCAACACAATAAAATTCATACCTGTGAATTCTGGCATCTATTTCAACACCAACTTACATTTCATTGTGGAATACACTTGTTCATCTGTCTCGCCCAGCCCCAGCATAATGGAGGTTTTAGAAATGATGCCGGGCTGGACCTCCTTGGCATGCTTCAGCACACGCACAGACTGCTCAAAGTTGGCTCGGGGGTCACGGACCTTCCTTTGCACATTTCCAGCACAAGGGGGAAAAAAACATGAAAGGGTGCACAGAAGTTACAGATGCCAGGAAAGGCTCATTCTGCTCATTTCCATAAAGTGGCAGTGCAGAGGTTTTAGCTGAGCAGTTCCACAGAGGCTGAAAGCCCCTGAAGCATCACAACTGTGCCCAGTTCAGGTTCCACACCCGTGATGGGGTGATGGGATGTGCCCAGGTCGGGTCCCACACCTGCGATGGGATGCTGGGATGTGCCCAGGTCGGGTCCCACACCCGCGATGGGATGCTGGGATGCTGGGATGTGCCCAGGTCGGGTCCCACACCCGCGATGGGATGCTGGGATGTGCCCAGGTTGGGTCCCACACCCATGATGGGATGCTGGGATGTGCCCAGGTCGGGTCCCACACCCGCGATGGGATGCTGGGATGTGCCCAGGTCGGGTCCCACACCCGCGATGGGATGCTGGGATGTTCCCAGGTCGGGTCCCACACCCGCGATGGGATGCTGGGATGTGCCCAGGTCGGGTCCCACACCCATGATGGGATGCTGGGATGTGCCCAGGTCGGGTCCCACACCCGCGATGGGATGCTGGGATGTGCCCAGGTCGGGTCCCACACCCGCGATGGGATGCTGGGATGCTGGGATGTGCCCAGGTCGGGTCCCACACCCACGATGGGATGCTGGGATGTGCCCAGGTCGGGTCCCACACCCGCGATGGGATGCTGGGATGTGCCCAGTTCAGGTCCCACACCCGCGATGGGATGCTGGGATGTGCCCAGGTCGGGTCCCACACCCGCGATGGGATGCTGGGATGTTCCCAGGGAGGTGACACCGCGGTGGTGGCGCGGCGCGGGCGCCCCCTGGTGGCGGGCGGCGGGCAGGGCGGGCCCCGCGCGGGGCAGGATGGGAGGGAGCGGGACCGCTCCGCATCCCGGCCCCGCCCGCTCCGCATCCCGGCCCCGCCCGCTCCCGCCGCCTCCCGCAGGCACGGGGGGCTTCAGGGCAGCTCAGAAGAGTGTCCTTTCACAACCCCCTTGCCGCACACAGTGCTGGTGCCTACCTCTGCAGTTCTGGGACTGTCTCCACGTTGTGTGCATACACATCCAGCCCCGACAACGCTACTTTCTCCACAGCTTTAAGGTCCCCTCGGAAATCGGGAGTTAGGCATTCCACTAGGATTTTGGAATTCCTGAAAAGGAGGGACAAAAGGAACACATCGGTGGGATTTTGTGCTGTCGAGAAACTCAAGAGAGCAAAAAACCACACATAAATAATTAATAAATGATGCTCTGATAGCAAAGCAAAGTTAATTCAGGATATAATTCTAAAAGAACAGATTTCTGCAAATACTTATATAACAAATCAAACAGGAATTGAGTTCAATTCCTGATTTTACCGACGTGAGCTGGAATACAACAAAAGCCAAATAATAACTGTAAGAGCATTTCCAACAGCCTCTAAAACAGTTTTAATCACATGTACTGCTTATAGAAGATTTTTCATGTGTCTTTGTTGCAGTCAGGTAACTTAACAAGAGTTTGAAATCATAAACTCTAAAATACAGAGGAGCCATGACCCTGCCTACTAGTATATGAGGACTCTGAGTTATTGCCCTGGAATCTCATCTTGGTGTCCAAGAACCTGATTTCAGCTCAGAAAGACTGGTGGGAAAAACTGAAGGAACCTTTGCAGTCCCAAGGTACACTGAATAAACACTTAAGTGAGGTTATACAAATGAATTCTGCAGGTAGACAAGTATGCTGTCAAATGGTGTACAGGGCACCGATGCAGGGTGAAAGTGACACAGCCAGGCAAAGCAGGAAGGTACATTCACAGGCTTGGAAATGGCCATTGGGGGGAAATGACAAGCAATCCGATCACTGCTGAATGAGAAACCAGACTCCTTCTGTCATGTGGTGACAGTGGTACCCAAATCCACTGTGTTTGAGCCCCAAGCTGCAGCAGTGACTGTACCTCAAAAGAATGTACTCATTTCCTGGTAAACCAGGTGCCCGTTCAAAGAAGGAATCCAGTGCTTAGCTTTACATAAGCCTGGGATGAATTGGAAATGCATCCAAATTCAAAACAGTTTGGGGCCATTCTATGAGACAGATGAAGAACAAGGAAAAGAAAGCAGCACAGATAGGCTAAAGGCAGACTTTTATATCTGCACAGCCCCTGGAATACTCAGCTAAAGGCAGCTCTGACCTACATGCAGTACCATTTTCTGAGGTTATAACAGTAACAGCAATACATTAATGACACACCTTTCCTTCAGATGCGAGACTGTCTTTGCAAAGTGTTCCGCTCCACCGTCAGGCATATCTAGAAGCATTTCAATTAGTCAGTTAACCTTTCAGTTCAAGAAATGTATTCACTTATTAGCAAAGACACAAAACCCATAACAGACTCAAGTTTAAATGAGAAATAATGAACCAGTCAAACCCCAGTCTTATCTTACTGCTTACGCCAAGAGTTTACAAAAGGTATCTGACCAAGCCTTGCTCTGCACAAAGTCTGTGACTGTGATTCAGTTTTACCTGTCTCTAGGTCCACTGTCAGCCTGAGCACAGAATGGCTTTACCTATACACAGTTTTGGTCTGAGAAACAGCTGTACAAATATTGAGATATATATATTACTGCTCTGTAGGCCCCTTTGAAGCTGCTGGACTTCCCACCATACTGAACAGTTTTTACAGTGGTTTTCCCCTCCTATATGGTGTCACCTCAAAGGAGCTACAACCTCTAAAAAGGGCAACTTCCACTTTTCACAGAATCACAGAATCAATTGGGTTGGAAAAAACCTCTGAGATCATTAAGTCCAACCTATGACCAATCACCACATCAACCAGACCATGGCACTAAGTGCCACATCCACTCCTTCCTTAAACATCTCCAGGGACAGTCATTCCACCACCTCCCTGGTAAGTCCATTCCAATGTTTAATCATCCTTTCTGTGAAAAAATTCCTCCTAATGTCCAACCTAAACCCCACCCCCTTTTATTACATATATTATATTCCGGATTTAGTGTTTGAAAGAAGTTCTGTAATGGCATTGTATAAGAATATTTGTGGTTGGGGTATTTTTTGCTAATGGAGTAACAGAACATGGTGTTTATGTACGCATTTCACAAAAAAATACAAATGTTTAGTATTCTAATAACAGCGTAACTTCTATTGCATTTTACCAGATATGGAGAAATACCAAGAATATGTAGGAACTTGCCAAAGTTTCAGCACTGTGGACTCCTTTAGAACAGAGCTCCTCGACAGCTGTGTTGATAAGTGCATACGAGGCCTGTGCTTACCCCACATAACACACCTGAGGGCTCAGACTGAAAGCGAGGAGAGCGACGTACGCACCGTCTCTGTCCACAGACGTCAGCACAACGTAATCCAAGCCCCACTCAGCGATAGCCTTGGCTGTGTTGTAAGGCTCCTGGGGATCCAGAGGAGGTGGATTTTTTGCTGTCTTTACTGAACAGAATCTGCAGCCTCTAGTGCACGTGTCACCCATCAGCTGGAACAACACACACATTCATTTTCATGGTGCATGTCACTATTGCTCAGCTGGGAAACAGCTGCATAAAGCTAAATCAGATAAATCCCAACGCTAAGCAAATAAAACTGGGACAGCGCTTTACTCTAAATTTATTGTAATAAAACCACTCCACTACAGTAGAGATCCAACAATGCACTGCAAACAGCTCAGACATTAACAGAGCACTTAAGAAATAGTTAATGACTTACCATAATAGTAGCCGTGGCTGTGGCGTATTCACCACCTCCCCAGCATTCTCCAATGTTGGGACAACGTGCTTCTTCACATACCTGAGGGTGAAAGGCTGTACTGAACCTGCCTTCTTCATATTATTATTGAAAATAATTATTTTATTACTGACCAATTTCAATAATAGCCTACAAACAAAACATAATTCCTTCTGTGATAAATAAGGTTAACAGTTCCACGCTCTGGAACTTCTGGAGTTGCTTCTTCACAACTGCAACTCCACTACCAAAAAAAAACCTCCTCAGCCATGTAACTGCCTTATTAATTAGCACAGACTGTCATTAACACTTTAAATTTCAAAGTTGTTAATATGTTCACAAAGTCTATGATTCATCAAAGCATGATCTTAGTTTGAAAAAAAAAAAAAAAGGAGAAAAAAGCTCTCCTTGCATTCCCACCACTTTTTACCATCTGGAAGGTACAATTAACAAAATACACACATTTGTACAGTTACTTTTCATGGAAAATATGTATGTAACTCTGAAATTGTGTGTGTTCTCATTAAAAACAGCTGCACATAGCATCTTCTGATCTCTGCTGATGCAAATAGTAAACCCTAGTACTTAAAAACACAGCAGGAAGAACATTAAATACTCTGCTGGATTTGTCTTCATTCTTTAGGAGTAAAATTCACTTCTGGCAAAAAGGATCAGCACTGGGCTTGGTTTCAGCAGTGAAGATCATGCAAGACATGATTTCTACCTGTTCTCCACAGGAAAAAAAATGTAAAAAATGCCTCATTTCTACAGGAAAACTTGGTTGGTGCCAGATTTACCGTATGAAGATTTAAGCTTCTCAAGGTATTCTTCAGTTTATTGTAGTTTTTTCCCATGGGAATCTTTGTTTTCAGCCATGGAGGAAGCCGCAGCCTGAGCAACACCAAGAAAACATAAAGATTAATAAACTACTTATGTAGTAAACGTCACTAATTTCATAGATTCGTTTAAATCCCAACAAGGAAAGGTTCCTTGAAAGCTGATGCAACTCAGCAACTAATGTTAACATCATTCATGGTCAGACCAGACTTCTCTCCTCCCTGTTTATCAACATGCCAACACTGAAGTGTAGGAGTTTGCTGTCACCGAAAGGTTTAAAACCATTCACTGTTCCAGTGGGGTTTAACAGTGCCACACTGGAGAGTGCAATAACGAATGGCAGCGGATGTGATACAGCTATTGCTTCTGACCAAATTTATAACTGGAAATATGGGGGCTTAAGCATTTCTTAATTTAGTCTTCATTTTTTGTTTTACTCTATCACTAATATTTTTTCAACAGCAAAGTTGGGTATATTCACCTACTGATGTATATTTGTAATTCAATACAGGCCATGGCACAGGCACTCAAGTGAGAAAATACCACTATGTCTCCATGTTTTGTTATGTGTGGGGTTTTTTCTTATTGAAAAAACATTAAATTTGCAAGCCAGCAGGGAAGAATCTAATAAAACCACAGAGTAGTATTTTGTAGTTATTACTAAACATGCAAGATAGTGCCCAGAAGCAACTACAGTTGTTCAAAATCACAATTACCTTTCTCCTTTCTCACGCTTCAAATTGCCTTTATACTCAGCCCACGTGCTCTTGTCTGACAGATCTCCAGAGACAAAGTCCTGCAAGTCTGGTCCATTTTGTAGAAATTCTTTTTTGTCCCCTGGCAAAGAACCCGATGTTCCATACTGGTTACACACATGGCTCCCAGACACCTAAAAAGCAGCAAAACTGTAATGTATTTAATATCAAATGCACTAGTATCATATACTGAACAACAGCTTGCCCTTTTGCTGGTTAATGTACACTTCGCACAGGCATTTTTCCAATGGCCTTTAAATTAACTTTTTATCTTAAGCCGCACGAAACAGACTTATCCACCATAACACCCTGCTGAGTTACACAGTGCAACATAAATTCCCCCTGTACTCAGCGCTGCTGAGGCCGCCACTCAAACCCTGTGCCAAGCTCTGGGCCCCTCACTGCAAGAAAGGCATTGAGGTGCTGGAGCGTGTCCCGAGAAGGGCAGCAGAGCTGGGGAAGGGTCTGGAGCTCAAGTCCTGCGAGGAGAGGCTGAGGGAGCTGGGGTTGTTTAGCCTGGAGAAGAGGAGGCTCAGGGGAGACCGGATCGTTCTGTACAATTGCCTGGAAGAAGGCTGTAGCCAGGCGGGGGTCGGTGTCTTCTGCCAGGTGACAAGTGACAGGACAAGAGAAATGCCCTCAAGCTGCACCAGGGGAGCTTTAGGTTGGAC